TCTACTACTATGGGCAATCTCCCCTGATTTTCTTAATTTTGAGTCACCCAAAATAGGGGGCATCTTATACATGGGGGTATGTTATATACGGGAAAATATGGTATATTATTGTTAAATAATAAAGTCACAGAAAGAGTGCTGAAAGATCAGCCCAAATGCCCATAATATTTCTCATGTTCCTAGAGTACTTTGTTATTTTAACAAAGAAAGATAAAAATGAATAGTAGATGCAATGACATTTGCAATACAGTATCACCAGAAGTGTTAAGATTTTGGATGTTATATACTTCATACATTTCCTCCAACATTTATAAGGCATCCCAGAGATTGGTACTGTGGTACCTATCTTATTTTATCATGTGCTCTCCCTCCCATGAAACTGAGAGACAGATTTTCCTAGGACTGGCAACTGAGCTGATTGCTGACTGAAATCTAACACTCAATCACACTGGTTCTTTGAATTTGACTTTGAATGCATGTGGAATAACTTCACAAGTCTTCATCCAAATAGCCAAAATTACATACAGACCACCATGTTGCTGTCACTTATTTGGAGGATAGGAAAGTCTCAGATGTTACAAATGAAATACATCCATTCATAAAAAGAAAAAGAAAAAAAAGAAAGGGAAACACCAGCAGTTATACATAGCTTTTTATTTTCCCCTCAGCTAATTGTTTGGCCTGTTAAAATCTTGGTCAAATTATCTGAAATTTCTGTAGGATAACCAACCAATTCATTAAAAATGAAATGAAAAATGTAACAGGAATATGATAACACAATGTCAGAAAGTCTAAGCAACGTGATAGGAAACAGTCTATAGCAAATAGATGTCTCGTGGGGGGACTAGGCAAGGTGTTTTATTTTCTCTTTTTCCCCCTTTTTACCCAGGTGAATAACATGTCTTCTTTCTGATATGTACTTTGAAGAACTAGGTTAACTGTTTTCCCTTCCATTTGCTGATACTGAATATAGTTTGCATCTAAAATGAAATGGGCAACCAATTATGAACTACCAAAGCAAGGCATCAGTCAGCTTTCTATAAATATACATTAAGTTTTAGAAACCTTCTGTCTTTTATGTAATTTAACGTACCCTGGAAAATTACATCATAGGCCATACACAGGTTCTGAAAGCGTAATCACAATCTTATATTCCTGTCAGATTCAGAGGTGGAATGATGGATGTGAATTAAGCCTTTATAGTTTGCTTGCGCAGTAGGTAGTAAATTAGCAGGTGCAGAAGAAGTGCTAATGCTCTGTGAATTAAGCATCAATTTACTGCTTCTTTTCTCTTTACCCTGCACATTGAATGCATTTTGATCTGAACAGATGACTAGTCTCTAAGCAAGAACTACAGATTACACTACGAGGAACAATAAATTATACCACTCTGTTACTGATGTTATTAGTGTTACCTCCATCTGGTTTCAGACATGTTTGAGTGGAAGAACCAATGTAAAATGTTCATTCTTTGGTGTGCATGCCTTATCTTCAAAGTAAGGAAAAGAAAAACCATCCTCAATGTTTTTAGCCATAGAATATTCAACTCTAGTTGAACTATTTTTAAATTGGAGGCTTTCACTAAATGCATTACTTCAAATATATAAATGCAGCACTGGTGATTCATGGATGGACAGAAATGTTCATTAATTTCAAAACTTAGTTGAATGCCGCCCTATGAAATTATTCCTTAGCATACAAGATTTTCAAGGTTTGAGCAATACATGGGTATTTTCCAGAAGAAGAAAATGCCAGGAAAAGGAGAACCCATAAGGTGTAAGGAGTTTTTTAAAAAGTCAATTTCAACCCAATGCACTAGTCAATCAAAGATATTGTTTAACCACTTTGTCGGCTGGTGGATAATGAGATTTGATTTCTAAACTAAAGAATTCAAAATTCAGGTACATTGGCTAAGTTGTTTCAATCAAAGCCTGAAACTGTTAAAAGATTTAAGATGCTGAGCATTTAAGGTAATTTTCGTACCAGTTCTGCCTTTTCCCACCATGAAAGACATTCAGCACTGAAATGTTATGTCCCTTGTTGAAAATGCATTAGATTGGGCAAAATTACTCCCTTCCCTAACTCAGTGCTCCATGAAATTGTTGCAGCTTCAGGAGGGAATGAAGCATTTGGAACTTGGGACAAAAGCTCTAAATAACATTCAACGTATCCTGTAAAAATACATTTTGAAATAGTTTTTAAAAAAAGAAGGCTATTTATTTGAATAATCAATATATTGGTGGATAAAAATGTAAATACGTCTTCTAGGTCAGGCCATGGAGTTCTTGGAAACCAATACAAATGCTTTATCATGCTGTAATTGTATGGCGGCTCCTCCCATTAAATTATATAAAAGCACAAGAGACATAAATATACACACTACACACACACACACACTCTCAAAACATAAATAATTACATTTACCACTATGCACAGCATTCAGTGAAAGTGAGTAATATAACTATGGTTTGTTTGGGAGACATAGTTGCTATTCTGACTTACTGTTTTCTATGTTCAAGGCTATGCAACCAAGCCAAAAAATAAATAGAGGCAGTCATATAAAATTTTGGGGGCAAATAATTATATACCCTCAATCTTCCAAGAACAAATAATGCTTTTACGGTAACAGTAATTTGTGAGAGACAGAACATTGGCAAATAAAAGAAACATGACTCTGCTTTACTTCTAAGAAATAGTGGTTTATATGCCCACTGTTATTTGTAACCAAACAGCTGCTTCACTTCGGCATCAACCTGAATTACCTTTTTGGAATATAATACTGTGATTTGTGGTAAACAGATTAAAATTAGTTTTGCCACTTAAAAAATAGTTAGCCAGAATAATTTCTGCTCCTTTCACACAGTAAATTCCAGAGTACACATTCTTTACACTCAAAGGTTCCATTGATCCATAATGTACTTTTTTAAAGCTACGCCCTCAACCCCTTAATTTCATGGGCCCATTTTCAGTGAAATGGGATAACATTTTCTCATTTGCCAGTTAGGGGGCAACGTTTGGTGGGGGGAGAGAGACTCTCAGGCCTAGTGGTCACAATTTTAGATTTCCCAGAATACCCCTCAGAAGAAAGGATTCTGGGAAATCAAAAATAGCAGCTGCTTTTGTAGCTGATCTTGGAGGAGCTCTGCAATGTTCTCCACCCCACAAAGAGAAACATGGCTAGAAAATGAAAAAGAAGAAGAAGAAGTGAAGCAGTTTCACCAAGCCATCCACCACCAAATCTCACCCCAAATTCAAACTGAAGTTTTGACCTTTCTTGGCATTACTTTAAACAACACACAGCTGCTGGTAACTATTCATGAATTTGCCTCGGCCCATCTGAAACCCGTTAAATCCAGTGGTCATCAACACACCATGTAGCAACAAAGTCCGTAAGTAGAGTTTGCCAAATCTCGTGGTGATCAAATTCACAGGGTTACCCTTAGTTCTAGCATTATAGGAGAGGAAGAAATAATGTTTCTGCATCCACTTTGATGGCACTGTGCACAATTTTTTTATATAAACCTCTTTTTTTTTTAGTATAAACTTCTGAATAAACATACATAGGGCTGGCCTACATACTAAAGAAGTGAAACAGCTAACATCTTTATTGACTGTAGTGTGATCCTGCTAATTGTTAAAACAGTCCTGACAACTCATTCCCTTTTTGCATTTGTTCTGCTTGTTTTTGCCTGCCCTGTTCCAAGGCAAAATGACCTATTTTTCGATGCCTCCTCTGCACTTCAACCTCCCACACCAACAGTTTGAATGTTCGCTAAAGACCTGAGATCTAGAAGCACGTTTGAAAAGGGGGGGGGATGGACAAGCAACTAGTTTATAAATAAATGTGAGAAACTACCTCTTTTCAAATGATGCTCTAAAGCTACAGCCCCCTCATTCCTGAATGCTGCAGCACAAAAAAACCTAGGACCAGTGTCATCAATATGCTTTGGTATCACTTTAATATCACAGAGATAATCACTATCACAACTGTTGGAAAATGTATGTGAAGTAAGCAAGTGTATTATCAAAACAATTTATTGGAATGAAAATAGAACTGAGGTAAGATAGGTGTTAGAAACGCTGTCTTTCGCTCCTGTTTTCAGTGGATTCAGTATTCAGCTGAATACTGAACAACTGCACACAAGTTTAATTTTAGGCATGTGATATCATTTACTATATTCAGAACGCTATGCGAATTATGTTAACCATTCATGCTTCAGCCCAAATGAGTGGTGTACTCCAGAATTGTTCCTCAAAAAGCACTGGGGTGGGTGTGTGTGTGTGTGTGTGTGTGTGTGTACTTAGATGTATGTGTGAACATACTGATGGGTTTAAATAGGGATGTCAGCAATAATGGATCAGGAACAGTTTTCAAAGAGTAGAAAGGTCAGCGCAAGGGCAGAAACCTGGCATATGAGAAAACTGGTCCTATTAGCTAGAAGTTATTCTTTGGTGAGATACTCTTAAAGTTCGCTTAGACGTGCTGCTATCTAAATTGCAGTGGTTGTCACAAAACTAGAAGTATCATTAAATGCAAAGCAATACTCTCTGGTAGAGTCAGTTCTCTCTTTCATTCCCTCTCATCAAAATGAGAAGCACATTTCTACTCCACAAATCCTTAAAGTGTAATTATATATTAAGAGGTTATGATGACTCACAGAAAAATAATTCTGGATCCTTCCATTAGAGGGCAGTATCCTACCACATCACCATTCTGAACACATTTCTAAAGGTGTTTGTTTCATTCCTTGCTGTAACTTAACATCCCCCCCCCAGCAAGTAATTCACCATAAAGTATTTCTAAAATAGCATTAACAATATTTAGTTGACTAATGCATATGTATTCCTGATGGAACTGATACAGGCATTATTATCATCACGACAGCAATGACTACAACTTCAAAACAAACAACTTCAAACAATTTATGAATACACAATTTCGAATGGCTAAATTTTGAAGGCTTCTATAAATATGAAATGAGACCACTGTATTGACTTACCATATTGATGGTGCTTCAGTGCCACTGATCTCTAAGAAATCGTAGCCTTCCTCTAGTTGGAAATCCGTAAAAACCAAAGCAATGGTATCTCCTGGCTCAGCTAGAATGGTCCATGTGCAATCAGCATTGTTATCATACTCAGAAGGAAAGTGAGGACTTGAAATAATTCCACTTGTCCCACGGAGAGTTCCTCCACAAGCACCTTCAGCTGATTATAAAAAACAAATGCAATAGAATTGGTCACACTGATAATATATTAACCATGTTAACAGCCCCGTGGAAGGGGGTATGGTCAAAGGCCTGGAAACGATGCCTTATGAGGAACGGCTAAGGGAGCTGGGCATGTTTAGCCTGGAGAGGAGGAGGTTAAGGGGTGATATGATAGCCATGTTCAAATATATAAAAGGATGTCACATAGAGGAGGGAGAAAGGTTGTTTTCTGCTGCTCCAGAGAAGCGGACACGGAGCAATGGATCCAAACTACAAGAAAGAAGATTCCACCTAAACATTAGGAAGAACTTCCTGACAGTAAGAGCTGTTCGACAGTGGAATTTGCTGCCAAGGAGTGTGGTGGAGTCTCCTTCTTTGGAGGTCTTTAAGCAGAGGCTTGACAACCATATGTCAGGAGTGCTCTGATGGTGTTTCCTGCTTGGCAGGGGGTTGGACTCGATGGCCCTTGTGGTCTCTTCCAACTCTATGATTCTATGATATACAGAGATGAAGAAACACTATACATTTTATTATTTCTAAGAAGCATCAAGTGATCCCTGACATCTCCAGTTAAAAAAATAACAAGCAGTACATGTTAGAAAAGATCTCTGCCTGAGATGCCCTGTTTGAGCATTCATCCTGATTTATTTGCACAAAGCTTTTGCAGAGGTTATATGATCTCTGCTGTTTATTAAGCACCACCACTGCTCTCACTTAATGTATGAGCTGAACAATATAACACAACACAATGGCCAATAACAATGGCACTAAACACTATTTATAGACTAATACAAATGATCAGAAATTACAACCAAAGTCTCTAAATCTTCTTCACCAGTCGCGGTAGAATAATTCAAAAAAAATTGATATATACATAATCAGTCAACAAATATCGCCGGAACAGAGTTTCCAGATAACCAATCTGTTTCGTTCAATATGTAGTCATCAGTGACTACAGTATCGTATGAGCACTGATCCAGAGCATATTTTCTACAGCGTTTATATTTGCTTACATGTAAGATTGGCTTGTTAAGAAATTGAACTGCATCCTTCTCATATTAATTCTTACAAGTCTGGCTGATGAAGCATTGAACGTAATAGATTGGTTATCGGGAAACTCTGTTCCGGCAATATTTGGTGACTGATTATGTATATATCAAACTTTTGAATTATTCTACTGTGACTGGAAATCAGCCCTGAGTGCTCAATGGAAGGACAGATCCTGAAGCTGAGACTCCAATACTTTGGCCACCTCATGAGAAGAGAAGACTCCCTGGAAAAGACCCTGATTTTGGGAAAGATGGAGGGCACAAGGAGAAGGGGACGACAGAGGACGAGATGGTTGGACAGTGTTCTTGAAGCTACCAGCATGAGTTTGACCAAACTGCAGGAGGCAGTGGAAGACAGGAGTGCCTGGTGTGCTCTGGTCCATGGGGTCATGAAGAGTCAGACATGACTAAACGACTAAACAACAACAACAACAACTGTGACTGGTGAAGAAGATTTAGAGACTTTGGTTGTAATTTCTGATCATTTGTATTAGTCTATAAATAAATTAGTCTATAAATGTTACATTGTTCAGCTTGTCTATATTGCAACACAGGGGTTTGTTTATGGCTCACTCAATGTATGGCAGCTTCACGTGTTCCTATATGCTTTTGAGAAACAAATATGTATTCTCTGTGTGCATATTTTCATTGTGTTCATGTTTATATCATGGCATTGCACAGTATGCAGAACTTGGATTAAAGGTCAGCATTTTATTACTTCTCTGCTATTAACTATTAAGTCATGCATGGAGAATTTCCAGTTGCAACGCAGCACAAAAGTATATGCCATGCAACAAACTATTTTTCACAAATAGACTGGAAGAATTATCACGGTGAATCATGCACAGCATTTTACAGGAAGCATTTTAAGGGAACAATTGTTACATTAGCGCTTGTATTATTAGTATAAAAACTTATGTAATTGCAAAGGAAGCCTTCTCTGCAGTTCAGCGGCATGAAAAATTAAAAGCTCATTAAGCTGCCTACGAAAACGGTAGCTGAAAACTAAAAGACAGCAATAATAAACAACGTGGTGTTTTGTCCTCCGCCCCCAGTAATGATAAAGCCCCTTTCACTTTTACACATTGTATTATTTTAACCTACATTGATCATGATTGTCCTTGTGGGTTATACTCATAATATCATTTTATATACACATATGGAACTTGACAAGGTCTCTGGCTCAAGGAACCTATCAGCTAATGAAGATGTGTGCAATACAAAACAATTAAGGGATTAGATTCAAGTGGCTGCGAGCAACACCGTGGGTAGGTGGCCTGTGATCAAAGTCATGACAGAGGAATCAATTCCGGAAGGTACATTTTAAAAGAAGAAAGAATGGGTAGGCTTGTACAGTCAGAAGGCAGATCCTACCCACAGATAAGTGCTTTTCATTTGTTTCTCCATGCAATTGACATTGCATAGAGGAGTAGCAATGGGCAAATCTGTCAACTTTGGTTTCTCTCAGTTTCTACCCCCCACCCTTCGGCTGATCGCCGAATAATTGATGCTTTTGGATTATGGTGCTGGAGGAGACTCTTGAGAATCCCATGGACTGCAAGAAGATCAAACCTATCCATTCTGAAGGAAATAAGCCCTGAGTGCTCACTGGAAGGACAGATCCTGAAGCTGAGGCTCCAATACTTTGGCCACCTCATGAGAAAAGAAGACTCCCTGGAAAAGACCCTGATGTTGGGAAAGATGGAGGGCACAAGGAGAAGGGGACGACAGAGGACGAGATGGTTGGACAGTGTTCTCGAAGCTACGAACATGAGTTTGACCAAACTGCGGGAGGCAATGGAAGGCAGGAGTGCCTGGCATGCTCTGGTCCATGGGGTCATGAAGAGTCGGACCCAACTAAACGACTAAACAGCAACAATTTGCCATTGAAGCCAAAATAGCAATATACAATTTGTGCTTACCCTTCACGTAGGAATGGTTGGATTTCTGATTTATTTATTCCCTTTTTTGCCCAATCTTAAATTCAGTTATCATCATACCTGTATGCATTTGCTAAATTTTGCACACACACACACACACAAAAAAAAAAAACCCTCAAGAAAATTTGTCAGCATTTTTGTGCTACTTTCTCCTAATAAACACATCTTTGCAAACAATTTTCCCCTGTGCAATATGTATTTGTATGCTAGTATCACTAATATATTTGTTGTTATTTTGCAATGCTCCCTGGTATGGAGGTTCAGTGTCACAACACTGCCACCAAAAGGGCCTGCCTCATGTCTCCACCAATCACACCTGCCATGGTAGTAGAACACAGGGTGGAGCTTCTGAAGATGACCATGGCTGCTGTGCAGATTCATGCAGGAATGATGGCAGGGAATGGGGAGCTAACATCAATACAATAGATATCCCATAGAGCTCTCATTTGTGGCAAATGATGCACATGGTCTTTTGTCCTGCCAAGGACCATGGGACTCAGCAGGAAGACTGAAATTTCACTAGAAATAAAAACTCCCCTGTTTAGGGAAGTTTTTAATGACTGATGTTTCAATGAATTTGTAATCTTTTTGTTGGAAGCTGCCAAGAGTGGCTGGGGAAACCCAGCCAGATGGGTGGGTTGTTGTTATTATTATTATTATTATTATTATTATTATTATTATTATTATTATCTCAGTGCAGCCTCTCCTGTGTTTTCTCCTCACCTGGAAATTGAATGTATGAAACACCCCTTTCAACCTTTTGGGTTTTAAAGTGGTACATCAAAATTTGTTTTATTGTAGAATTGTACAATAGAAAAGGGACCAGGATGATCATCTAGTCCAATCCACTGCAATGCAGGAATCTTTGACCCAACGTGGGGCTTGAACTCATAACCCAGCGTCTCATGCTCTACTGTCTGAGCTATCATACAAGACACATTTTAAAAACAATATAAATTCTGCTTCAAAGACTTGTCCTTTCTGCCTCTGATGCAGGCAATTTAGTGAAATGCCCAATTCACTGGATTTTTTTTAAAATGCTATCTTCTTGAAACATTCCTGTAAATGTACCCCATCACACCCTTTAGAATATTACTTTTTCAGTGTTAGCCAGAAGGTGATAAAGAACTATTGCCCAAATAGAAGCACATTGACAATATCACTTGGCCCCATAAATATAGTTGTCTTTTAAAAGAAGCATTCAGAGAATAGCTTGCTGTCTTTTATAAAGCACCTTCTCTATTTATATTGCTATATATCTGCAATCCTTGTGTGCTGCATAATGTTCAAGACAGTTCTGCTGTGCACTATCCTCCATTCTTTGGGGATGACACGAGGAGCCTTAGGATAAGCCTATTAGAAGCCAATCAAAACTTTGTAAAATAAATGAGCAATTAAAGAGCACATCTGTGCACTTTTCATCTCAGCAATGTGAGTACAAAAGGGGGGAAATGGAGCTATCCCCGCACTACTTAAATATGCAAAGAACTGAGGTCTGTGGTTATCAAGACAGTCTGTGTGCAAATCCAAACCAAACCTGACATCACCTTAGAATCCCTCTACCTGAAATTATTTATAGTGCTTATTGCTGCAAGCAACAGCACGCTGAAAGGATGTGGCAAGGCAAAAAGAACTCCCTTTACATTTTACATTTCACTTTTTCGTTTTCTCTGTACTTTCTGCATTTACTTTCCTTGTTTTTACAGGTTACTGCTTGGTCACAGCACAGACCTGATTTGAGAGGGGTGGGGGTGATTCAACTAGCAAATTGTAAATCTGACCGCTCCCCCCCTCCCCACAACCCACTCCGCTAAAGACAACAAAGGAAATTCACAATCTACCATGCCAAATATTGTCTGGAAATGCTTTTAACTATTTCATTTGATGACGAGAATTCAAGTGGTTGATGTGCCTTTCAAGTTCCAAGCACTTCAGTTTATGTTATCTTCTGCTCCAGCAAAGAAAATAACTTGACAAATGACATGCCAATACTTCAGTGCACAAAACTA